TTATGAACATCGTAACTTCTTTATACGATCTCAGATTTTAACGATCTTTATATGCATGTGTTCGTATTTAAGTCTACTATAATTTTCGTTTAGATTACTCCCGTTAAAAAGTAATATATTTTACTTATGATCTTTATATACATGCGTTCTTTATGAATTTATGTATGAACGTTTTTTTTTATAAAATCGTAAGTAAAAATATATTACAATTTACCGGGAGTAATCTAAACGAAAATTGTAGTAGACTTAAATGCGAACACATGAATATAAAGATCGTTAAAATCTGAGATCGTATGAAGAAATTACGTCGTTCAGAACACAAGACCTAAGCACCAGGCAATTGAGGTCACGATGACCATAAGCATCAACAACCCCAAACACTTCTTTAATGATTGACCCACATAGGATGTCGTGAGAAAAATGTAAAGAAACGGGTCATAAATACTCAATGTGTACAAAAATAACAAGGACTTATTTTGCAACAAAAAAAATATTAAGGACTAAATGTGTATAAAGTGAGAAATATATTACCCTATTAAGTCATTTTTCCGATTTATCTGGAGTAGCCGGTCATAAGGACTGAATGTGTACAGTTAAACAAGTTGAATGGGAAAATGTGGACGAAAAAAACTCGGTGACCAAATGTGTATAAATCGAAAAATATATTACCCTTTTAAGTCATTATCCCTTCAAAGTAATCGTTTTTGTAAAAGTCGGAAAATAGTTGCTGTAAATTTTGATTTTTCAGTTCTATTTTTAATGAATGGCAAAAGGGGGACATATATTAAACAAAATTAGCACATGCCATCAAAAACAAAAGAGTACAATATGTAAGGAAAATAGGGTAAATGTCACTGTAGCACAACCAGATTCTATTTTAAATGGTCCCTCATGTTATTTTTTGGTACTTAAAGGACTTAAAGTTCATTTTTACCAGCTGAAATGTGACCTTGACCTATAATTACCGGTTACCGGTCATAAGGTGATGTGGCATACCATGTTGCATTTTCATCATCAGACTTTGCCTATGTGAATCAGACATGGCGTCCACATGGCTTTTCTATTGTTATTAGGTTTTAAAAATCTTAAAAATTTTCAATTATTAGTACGTGATTTTTTAAATATTGAAATTACGAAGATTTGAAGAACATGAAAGCAGTTCTTGAAGAACATTCATCAACTACCACCTAGAACCACCACCATACACCACCGTCGACCACCATGTATCACCATCAACCACTACCACCATGAATAGAGAGAAGTGCAAGCTCTTAGAATCCAAAGTCCACAGAACTAACAAATCCAAACCACAATTGCAATAACAATATATGCATCAATAATTACATCTAATCGTTCATCATGTCATTTGGGATCGTGATAAAAAATTTTAATAAAAAAACATTACATAACTTGAAATTGTGAGCAAACCCCAAATCGGAAACAAACCCATGGATCGGAAATCGGAACATTCTTTGTACGTCACCACCATGGACATATCTAGAAAGTTATACTCTCTTTGCTTCAATGGAAAAAACAACAAGTATCCGATTAGAAATATCTAATTTCTGACAGCGTTGATGATTTCATCTACCTGCTTTTAAATCTGAAAAAAAATCCCCATAAAGACCTCACGAAAAGCCCTAAAACGATTCCTCTTCCCCACTCTTTATACACTCCACTGGAATCTTCCCACAATTGCCTCATAATCGGATATATCTTTGAAATCGAAGTATCTTCATAAGTCACCACCACCGGCGTCGGTTTGTGGTGATGCTATTCGGTTGGATTCGAGCATCCTGATCAAGAGCTATGATAGAACCAGTATTGTATGTGGTTCTTATAGTACATTTGGGCGATGGTGAATGATGAACTACGGTCGGGTGTGTAGAGAAAAAAGAATCGTTTGAGTAAATAGTGGTGGTGATCGTTAAACTGTTGAACAGAGAGGGAGAGGCATTTGTTAAAAAGAAAAAGAATGAGCATGTGAAATGGAGTGAACACACACCTAATATTTAGGTTTATTTCATTATTTGATATTTTATTAAATTAAAAAAATTTATAAATAATCAATATATTATGTGGAGTACACGTGGACATATACCGACTCAATTATACAGGGAGACTCCTTCGTTTTTTATAAAATGATCTTTTAAAACCTAAAATGTGAACTTAATGCCCCTAAAATACAAAATAATAATAATAATAATAATAAGATGGGTGACCATTTAAAATAAAACCAAACAGTTGGTTGGGGTACAATCACATTTACCCAGGAAAATAAAAAGAAAACATCATAAGCAACCAATTGGCTCCATACACCATTTCTCCCGGCAAAATGAGTTTATCTTTCTAGTTTCCCTTATGTTTTATCCACGTAAAAACCATCGCCATAGTTTGATCTATCACTTTTTAATTTTCATTTAAAGAATATATATATATATATATATATATATATATATATATATATATATATATAGGGTTAGGTTTATATGAGACGACCTAATTTTGTGAGACCGTGAGACGCAATCCTAGCCACTCATTTAGTAGATAAATAAAAAACATTTTTAAAATGCAAAATAATTGAAAATTTACAAAAAAAATTTCAAATATTATTTTCGGAATTTATACATTTCAAAAAATAAAAACAAAAAAAATACCAAAAAAAATTAAAAAAAAAATAAATAAAAATACATTTTTTACATATTCTAGTAGAATATTAGAATATACTACATATCTGACAAATCTAATACAATATTCTAACATTCTAAAAATCACATTAGAATATTTACAGTGTAATATTCTATTAGAATATTTCACGTATTTTAAAAAAAAACGGTAATTTTTATTTATTTATTTTATTTACTTTTATTTACTTTTATTTTTATTTAGGTAATTAAAGTTCGGAAAATAATAATTAAAAAAAGAATTTTCGGATTTTTTCTTTTATTTTGCATTTTAAAATTATTTTTAGATTTGGTCTCACGGTTTCACAAAATTAGCATGGTCTCAAATGAATCCAAGCCTATATATATATATATATATATATATATATATATATATATATATATATATATATATATATATATTATATATATATATATATATATATATATAGTGAGGTTCAATAGAGAACCATAATTAACCAAGGAACCAATCGTGAGCGTCGGAAATTATAACGATCAACGGCCAATGAAATAGATGTACACTTTTACATTGGACGCACACACACACCAGATTATACCAAAAAATCCACCCTTTACAAAAAAAACTCACCACTTTTTTTTCGTTTAAAATCTTTTTTAGGGCATGTTTTTTATCAAAAATAAAACCCGAATATACCGTTGTTTACGATTTTCCGTCCTCTTTCCACAGAAATCCATGATGATATATAAAAAACGATTTTTTTTTTCGAAAAAAACCCACTTCATTTTCTTTGATGAAAAAAATTAAGGTCTTTTTATTTAAAAAAAAATTAATAAATATATCAAAATTCATATTTTTTGTACTTTTTAAACATAGATTCATATTCATGTTAAAAAAAATAATAATAAAAAAAAAAAAAAAAAACGATATTTCAGTTCAGATTCACATTGTGAACCTGTTCAGATTCATATTGTGAACCTGTTCAGATTCACATTGTGAACATCCTCAGATTTACAGTGTGCATAATAATAAGTCAAATTTACATTGTGAATCTGAACTGATCGGAGCTTTTTCACATTGTGAATGTTAAAATTTAAAATATTTACAGTTTAGATTCACAGTGTGAATCTATACTGATCGAGTTTTTTTTTTTTTTTTTTTTTTTGTGAAACTTCTCAGATTGACAGTGTGCATAATAATAATTCAGATTCACAATGTGAATCTGAACTATTCGAGATTTTTCATATTGTGAATGTTAAAAATTGAAATATTTACAGTTTAAATTCACAGTGTGAATCTACACTGTTCGAGGTGTTTTTTTTTGTTTTTTTTTTAATCGGTGTTGATGTTTATTAATAGAGTATAAAAAATTAATATTTTGGTATAATTAGTTTTTTTTGATAAAAATAAACTTAAATATTGAAAAAACTAAGAAACTAAGTGGGTTTTTTTTCGAAAAAAAAAGTTCGTTTTTTATATATCATAATGGATATCTATGGAAAGAGGACGAAAAATCGTGAACAACGGTATTTTCGGTTTTTTTTTTCGATAAAAAATTTGGCCTAAAAAAAATTTAAATGAAAAAAAGAAAGTGAGTTTTGTTATAATCCGGTACATGTGCGTCCATTATAAAAGTTTACAACCCTTCATTTTGCCGTTGATCGCTTTAAATTCCGACGCTTTAGATTGGTTCTTTTGTTCCTTGATTAATAATGTTCTCTATTGAACTTTTCCCTATATATATATATATATATATATATTATATATATATATATATATATATATATATATATATATATATATAAATAAAAAGTAAACTTTAGTTTTAAGATTTAAAAAAAAAAAGTAGAATAACCAAGCTAAAACATACAAAGAAGTTTGTCTTTCATGTCATTGCCTCTGAATTATCATATCCTTACATATGTGGCATTTTTTTTCAGTTTAGAATATTATTTTTTGGCAGCATTGGAACACATGGTTTGTATAAAACTTATTGAGTGTTAACATCTATATTTTGATTGACATTAACATGATTTCAAAATTGTTTGGTAGCATGTTTTCTAATAGAACAATTACATTTAACTTGTCTATCAAAATTAATACAATAATTTTGTAAAAATAATAATAAACAAACAATTAAATTGACCATTTCATCTAATATATATACCACTTGTTATAAAGTAATAAAAAAACACTACAAATCCATAAGGGCATATTGTAACACATTCGCACTGGAATATTATTAAAAAATTTCAAACCACAGATCATCATATATCATGATCTAACTACACATACAAAAACCACAACATGCAAATACATATATAAAAATAACACTAAGAATCGGTCTTCCAAAACAACATCTATTCACATACATCTCCCACTCCCACTCTATATGTGTATGATCCTCTTCTTTTCGATACTTTCTAGTATCTTTTTTCCATAAAGATTGCTTTGCATTGATGATTCATTTCTTGAGATCAAATTCCTTAGGCACTCATATGCCAACCCCTCCTAATCAAATCCATTACAGAAACAACCATCAATAAAAATAGAATAATAATTCTTTTTAGGAATGAATATTAACAAAATGGAAGGAATCATATTTCTTCACCAATAATCCAATTTTATTAATTAATCAAACAAAACAAATAGTGTTTTTTTTTACAGGAAATGAACACTACCTTATACATGCACAAAAAAAAAACAAAAATCAAGCCGGACCCATAAAAAAAAATAATTAAAAAAAAAAAAAAAAACTGGTCTCTATAGATGGAATGAATTTTCATAAAAATTCTTTATATTTTATGTAAAATATAAGATAAGCTTTAACACTAATCTACATAATATTTAATTCTAGTTACAGAACGAAATATTTACAAAACTAAAAAATTAAACATAACAAAATCTCATTAAACCACAAATAATATTATGATAAAAAAAATATATTTTTTGATATATTTAGAGAACAATATTCTAATTTAGTAATAATCATGAAATTCTTCAAAAAAAATTCTTATTAAAAAAATTTATAAAGAACAATGGGTTATATATATTAAAAAATTCCAACACCCCTAAGATATGAACTTTGATCCATTCCATTATAGGCAAAACAAACAGTTTTTTTCATAACACCGTAAAAGTAAAAAGATATTAAGATTAACTAACCTTGGAAGCGTTTAGAGCAGACTGGATGACAAAGTTGCCATAGGGATCTAAGAGAAGCGCTAAGGAATTGGGGGTTTTTATCAACTCAAAAATGATGGTTTCCCTTATATCCGAATCCGTTTCAGTCAAACATTTCTCAACAACATTACTCGCATATTTGTTTCTCGAAAGAGATGAAAACTGCCCTTTCAATTGCCTCACAAGCACTTGTGTCAACTCCCGAATCTTCATTCCCACCATGTGTTGCAACACATAATTCCTAAACCATATTACCCATCTCATTCTTTAAAATACACCAAATTTGTAAAAAAGTTGTTGGTATGTTAAGTCGTTCTTTCTGTATTAAGTCAGGTTAATGAGCATTTTTTTTACAATTAAATCCGGTATGGGTCTGTTTATTTTCTAGATCCGTTATCATTTTATGCTTACATTCCGAAAAACAAATTTCAGAATATTTAGTTAGGAGTAAAAAAAAAGTAAAAGGAAAAATATGAAATTGGCTAGTGTTCTAAAACATTAAGCCAGGTTTTTTTGGCTCAATCCTTTAAGTCATTTTGTCCATACTAAGTCAAAAAGAAAGGACCATGTATAGTTGTGAAGATTAAGTGGTTAACTCATTAAGTCAAAAAGAAAAAAGAATCAAAAGATCCAAACCCGAAGGGATCTTCTGCTATTTGAATTGCATTGACCATGATCTCAGCAACAAGGCAGTTTCTAATTTTGCCATGAGAGCGATCCAAACATGCCTGAAGCACACAGCAGCCACTTTTATCGGTTGCAACACTGAAGCAATTATTTGCTATATCTTCTAGAATAAGCTGCAAAAGAAATTCAAGGCATTAACAACTTTACACAATTACCAATTTTCATTGAGAACTTACATACAATTTGTTGTTCTTATGAATCTAGTAACCTGGATCAACGGGTATAATAAGCATTCACTATGGATTTCAAGCAAGAAAGTGGATACACACAATATTGAAACATGCACATATGAACGATTTAGCTTATAACGATGGAAGAACATCACATAAAATTAAGATTGATGGATGACTAAAAGATGATACCTGGTTGAAATCACTATCAAAATGAACCAAGCATGATTGAATAACATGGTGACCATTTGGATCATTGGCCAATTTAGAAGCACCACGATGTAAAGCCCTAGTTACCATCATAATCTGTTGCGGGTCTTCCAGATTCTCCAACAATGATTGAATTGCTCTAGTCCTACAGAATCAACAAGAACACAAATGTTACTTTATGATCCATAATATATAGATTTAAACGAGATTTAACGCAATCAAACATACCCATATGGACTCATGGAAACTAGAATTATGTCAAATGGCTTCTGAGTCAGTTCACGAAGTATAAGAGCTTTCTGATCGGCATTGCACACAGCAACAAGCTTCTGCATTAAATAATTTCCGAATTGGTGTTTCATAAGATCAGAAATTGAACCCATCACGTGAGTTAGAACAAGCTCGATTTCTTCTTTAGTTGGGTTTTCAAACTTTGATTGTAGAATTCTGCACCCGTGTTGATCCTTGGCTAGTAACGAAATCATACCCCTCATTTCTTTTAAAGGCAATAGACTCCATAACTGTTGATTTTGCAATTTATTCGCCACTCCACCATGATTGCGACTGTTGATGTGTTGAAGATTAAGGTTATTATCACTAGACATTGAGAAATTGTTGGTGTGGAAAAGAGATTCATCAAGAATTGCAGCAGAAGGGATTGATGAACTACGGTTATGGGAGGAATTGAGATGTTGTGTCGAGTCCAATCGTTCCTTGGCGAGCAAGTAAGACCTTTGGTCCCAGTCAAACTGTTGGTCAAACCATGAAGAACTTGTTCCTGGAAGAAATTCTCTGTTGTAGCAGGGGAGAGGGGAATAATGATAATGATGACGAAGAAGAGGGTCCACAGTAATGGGGTTATCATGGCCCACACCATAATAAAACCTTTGAGGATTGTTAACGGCGTTTGAAACCCTCCAGCTTTCATCATAACTGGTGTTACTGCGAAAAGGGCTAATAAAACCCTCGCCGCCGATCGGAGAAGTAACGCCACCGTAATCGAAGTCGAGAGTCGGCGGGAGGAACGTCCGGCTGTCGGTATAGTTGTTCTGAGAGATACTGAGAGAAGATAAAACATTGGCTAGGCTCCGATCAACATCAATCGACGGTGGGAGATTAACAGGCGTCTGCTGCATATTGTTCAAAGCCGCCGGAGATAGCGACTGAAACGGGAATCCGTTAGAGAAATAATGGTGCTGCAGCGTCGGAGGAGGCGTCGCAGGGGTTTGATTCATCTGGGTGTATCTTTGATGATCCATTGGAACAAAAATCGAGCAAACAACAAGATTTTAGAGGGTAATCGGTAGAGATTCTGCGTTTCTTTTTAGTGAATGGGAGATGGAAGAGGGGTTTGAGGGGGTTTTTATAGAGGGGTGGGGTTTTTCCTTGAAATTTCTTTCGAGAATTTCGTAACAAGAAGAAGAATTGAAATGGGATCAAGATTAATACGAGAGATGAATACCTTGGAATATATGATTTAATTTTGGATAGAGAAAGAGGGGTTTTAGAGAAACTGAGCGAGAGTTGTATGCATGCATTTTATGGAAAGATTTCTTCATGAAGCTTAGCCAATACGCGGCGCCTGTCACCTAAAAACTGCAACATCCCGTCCGTTAGAGTTTCTGTCAAATTTATATTTATATGAATACATTATATACTATACATTATACATTTACACTAAAATCAAATTTATATAATATAGATAAATAAATTATTATACACTATACACTATCATATTTAGTTATCAAAGATTATGATAATATTCAGTAATTAGATTTTGAGATATTATAAACGCGTTTGGCGCCTTGTTAAAAAAATGGCTTTAGTTATATGGAAAAAAATCAAGAGAAATTTCATCAAATGTCCAAAGGGAAAGGAGGTGTTTGAACATTTTGACCATAAAAATTTGAGTTTTGTAGAATAACCAAGGGATCCGTAGAGGGAGCTCTGCGGAAGCATTTTACATTCTGAGGAATGTGAATAATAACGAGGAATTGAGGTAGCAGGGAAAAAGACAAAAAAAAAGCGGTTTGTTGCATACTTCCGCACAGGGGGTTCCGCGGAAAGGTTGTCGAGGCTCTGCGGAAAGGTTGTTGAGGCTCTGCGGATTCGTTCTTCATCAGCACATCTCTGAGGAACTGTTCTTCGGCTAACCATGACAAAAATCGGGATCGCCTCACCATCCTCGTGTTCTGCCCTTTGTCGACATCTCTTCTTCGTCTTCTTCCCTCCGTTCCGCATCCCTTCCAAAAATTCGTCACTTCCGCAGCCAACAAAGTGAGAACCGTTTTTTTTGTGTGATTTTACAATTTTACCCATTCCACCTCATTTCCGCAAAACTATTCACTTTCTTCAGAAGGATTAAGCCTTCCTCAGAGCACCCTCTACGGAAGTGATGGTCATTTACAAAAATCGATTTTTTTTATGGTCAAAATCTTCAAACCCTCCATTCCCTTTGATTATTTGACGAATTTTCTCAAAGATCAAGAACGTCTGACCTAAAAGTTATTCAACTAGATTTTCTTAAGAACTTTTCTAAAATCTTGTCATTTGTCATTTATCATTTATCTTTTATTTTATTTTATACCATTTAAAAGTTTTCAATTGTTTTTCCAAACATTTTATAAAAATAAAAGTTTCAATTTAAAAGTTTTGAACTATTTTTCCAAACATTTTATAAAAGTAAAAGTTTCATCTTCCATCTTCTCGCTTTTCTTGGAACAACAAAATTTCATAAAGAAAAACTAGCAACGATCTAGAAAAAAAACCATTACAAGAGAGTACAAGCACGAGCCGGGTATTGAAGCGAAGTAACCTAATTCACCTTTGCTTTTCTATATCTTTTAGAAATTTAGATAAACGCCCTGTAAACAATATCATCAAAAATATTAAATTTTCTTAAACTAGTTGTTCCAAAGATTGAAGAATTTTAAAACTTCCACAAAACCCAAAAACAAGTAATCACCAACGCATCAAAGGTCTTCCATTGGCCGTCTGTCAACTGAGCACTATCTGCTCAAGTAATAAGTGACTGGATAAAAAGAGTCGGAACCTCCAAACCCCCACCAAATACCAATTCGAGCCTATAAGTTAACCAAGGAGGGATGTACTGATAAAATGTGAGCCACCATCTCTACACTACTCCGAGTAACTAGAACATGTAATAAAGTCTCATGTAATACCCCTAGAAGACAACCTCTGTTTGGTAGGAATGCTTTCTAATTTTATATGCCACAAAAGAACATCAAACTTGATAGGAACCCAATTATTCCACCAAGTTTCCATAAAATGCACGAGCAGAAAATGCACGATCAGAAAAAACCGAAAAACAATATGAAACATCCAGCAACCAACCGAATATATCTACTTGATTAACAAGATGAAAATCAGAGAAAAGGGACTCAAAATTGTCCAACTAGTCTTATTCGACCCCATAAGATTATGCCAAAGGGAATTGTTGGAAAATTTAACAAAAAAAATCTGTATTTTTAATAATTTTTGGACACATTAAAATATAAATATATTTATATATTTTTAATCCTTAGTGGGTTATGTTCTCCTCTGTGAATGCTTCTAAACAATATATGTTGTGTCTAAAATGGAGTATGTGTAAATGAGATATCGATGTTCAGAGATGAACATTCGGAAATAAAGTTAACAAATAAAATGGTTGTGGGAATATGTCCCACATTTGAGTAAAAAGTAAACTCTTAGTGGGTTGATAAACATAGATATGTAATGAGTTTACAAGCTTATGTGTATGATTTTACTCTAACGCCTATGCACGCGTAGCGGAGTGAAAATCATGGATTTTGTAGACAAAAAACAATGAACTCATGTGTCGGCTTGACCCGCGGACATGAATCCAACTTCGAAATTTTGGGCCCGCGCAAGCCATGTTTTTGCATAACTTTACAGTTTTGGTCCCTGATTATAGTTTTTGTAACTAATGTATTTGATGTAAGTTAGTGTTGTAACACTCCTTGTCAAGGTATTTTCATTTTTGGCCTAAAAGTTTAAAATGTTAGCAATTTGGTCCTTACGCTGGGGGTAATCTAGACTTACATATATTTTCGTTTTTGGCCCAAAAGTTTAAAATGTTAGCAATTTGGTCCTTACGTTGGGTGTAAGCTATAGTTATGCATGACGTAACTCATTTAAACGGACGCAAAGGCTTTAGCTGGTACGCTTGGCATACCTTAGGTATGCGGGGCGTACTATCGCTGTGCTCAACCCTAAATTATTAGGATTTGGGCCCTATATAATGTCTTTAACTCCTTTGAGACATTTCCCCCCATCAACCTCCATTTCCCAAAAATGTCCCTTTGCAAACCCTACTCCCTTGGTGTGTATTTTCGAGCTTGAGAGTGTGTATTCTTGGGATTGTGAAAGAGGAAGAAGGTGGTAGACTAGCTTGGAAGTTCAAGGCAACTTAAATCCAGAAGTATCTCACCCTCAAGCACCCCCAGAAGGTATAAAACTTGGAACTTGATGATTTATTTGCTAAGATCTTGCTAATATAGTGTTTGTGTACATTTTGCTAATAAAAATGAGAGCTTGGTCACTCTCATTAAGCCATGCATGAGTTTTGGAGCCTTGGATGACTTTTGGACCCAGGGTTTGGATTTATACCTTCTTGTATGCATGCAAATGGATAAAGTCAAAGACTTTATCCATTGAGACGTCCCTTTTTACCTAGATCTGAAGTTTGGTGCATTGCTTTATGTATTAAGGACTTAATGAGAGGTTTTGGGTTCAACGCTAGTATGTTGGGCGTACATGGTGGTACGCTGAACATACCATGTTTGGAGCCCGTAATCAATAAGGTACCCTTTACGTTGGGCGTAGAGTGGGAGTACGCATGACGTACTCAGCCTGGTGTAAGATCTTTGACTTTTTGACTTTGACCTTTAACCAGGGGTTTGATCAAGTTTGACTTACGGGCATTTTGGGTCATTTAAATAGTAGTTTGAGATTAGGTCACTGTTTATTCTATAGGTGACTAGTAAAGACAACATTTGGAGCAGTGGTCCATTCAACTATATTTCGGTCTGTCAGGTGACTTTTCCTCACTGGTACTTGTGGGTCGAAGGCATGAATGTCGGCCTACTGGATTATGTATCCTGATATATTGGATGATGTTATGTTTGTTATATGATAGATTGGTAGATCTGTATGATTACATGTGTTTGTTGGATATGTGATAGACTGGTAGATCTATATGTTTACTTGTGTTTGCTGGATATGTGATAGACTGGTAGATCTGTATTGTTACCTGTATTTGTTGGTTATTGATTGTTATTATATATATATGTCGACATGTTATGGTTTGTTGGGTTGAGGCGGTCCTGCTTTGTGCTGAAGCCCAAGATACTCGGGGCGGTCCGGATAGATTGTAGGCCCTTCAAGGCGGTCCAGTCAGGACGAATACCCGGAGAGAGGTCCGGATAGGTTATAGGCACTACGAGGTGGTCCAGCCAGGCCGAAAGCTCGGAGAACAATCCAGATAGGCTGTAGGCCCTACGATGTAGTTCAGTCATTCTGAAGGCTCATATATGCATGTTGTTATCTGTTTGGGTTTGTGTGGTACTTTGGGGAAACTCACTAAGCTTGGGCTTACAGTTTGATTGTTATGGTTTCAGGTAGTTTAGAGGAAAGGGGCAAGGCGAAGGCTTGATCGTATACATCCTTCAGATTTTATGAGATTTTGATTTTGGGATACTCCGATTCATTATTATGACTTTTGGAAACTATGTTTTGTAAATACTTATGGTTTTTGGATCGGTTTCAAAAATGAAAATTTTACCTTGATTTTTTGGATGTTACAAGTTGATATCAGAGCCCTGGTTTGAGTGAATTGGATGAGCATTTTTGTGAATACAAAATCAAAGTAAGGATCTGTAAAAGTTTTCAAAATTGTTTTCAAAGGTAACGAAAGAAGGATAAGATGTGTACGATCAACTGTAGCAAGAAAGTATACCCCAAGATACCCACACCGTTATTTGCTTATGATGATTATGATAGAACTGCATGCTAGTTGTAGGCTAGAGATCTTCAAGAATTGCATGATAGAATTTCCTGATGTATGATGCCTGATAGCCTAGGAGAATCTCTTATATGCTATATGGAATTGACATCATTACTATAGTTACTTAGTGTGTGCATCATAGTTGTACATAACTAAGATTTTATAGCCTGGGAATGTTTTATTTAGCCGTATTTCCTGTTCCTTGTTTGGTTGTGGGCTTAGGGTAGTGTTAGGGTGCAAAGTTCTTCTTGGATGTAGAGTATAGGCCTACCCTCTTATATTGTGTAATGAGTTGGCTTTCCTATAAATAGGAAGTGAGTGACACTCATTTATGTATGACCCATTTGTGAGTGTTAGTTTAGTGAGAGAAAGAACAAACCCACTTGTACTCTTACTATTCTAATGGAGCTTAAACATGATTATTTACTCTTGATGTTCTTGATGTTTGTATGATTCACTTGATCTTATCAATTCTACACATGTCATCATAATTAGGATCACTA